AAAATCCCGTTAATAGAAGAAACTATTAAGTAACTGGGGTTCCAACTCACTTAGCAAATTGAACTAAGACGTATTTGGAGATATTTTTTGGGTTCTTTTTGTCCTAATTCTAAAACATTTCTACGTATTTATATATCCCTGGCTTTGTAATGTTAAGGTCTGGGTGCTGTTGAAGAAGTCCTTGAACTATCCTGTACCTGCAAGAATCAATTATGCTACCTTCAGCTGTCCAATATGTTTAAGAAAGAGAACAGCTATTCTTAATATTGAACAGTGAAAGGTATTATAATGGTTTCTTACATGTAAATGTTAGTTCAATCACTGAAATAAAAAACGGCTACAACAATAGAATGACGTCACAACAAAGTTTAAAGTAAAGGATATACGCCGATAACAGTCCATTATGTCCAATAGTTTACAGAATGGACTGTTAGATGCTTATATCTTACTTAAAACATTGTTTAACATGACAAAAAAGGTGAAAAAAGCTAACAAATACAAACATTTGTTAAGATTTATTTTCAAGTGTGTAAATTGTTTTGTGGATAAACTTTATTTACATTATCCTACATGTTGGCCCCTGTAAACAGTAGCTCAAATTAAACAATAGAAAAAACAAGGAACAGTTGAGGGTAAACAACATGTATTGTTACATGTACTTGAAAACACAGTGTATGTGTATCATGCTTTTTGCGTGCGCTAGGACTACTTTATATATTCTCTGTGAATATCTTCACATGCGTTTGGTGTCTCAAAAAGGATAAAGACGATATGCAAAAATCGGAGAAAGTGATGTCGTAATTTGTGATTGTGTTTTTTCAAACTTTGGATAAAATCAAATGTGTATTCAGATATATAGTGCAACGAAGAGGATATAGTACTAGCAGCTAGTAATAGCAAGTTTTATATATATATTGGAACCCCCCTTTTTTTGACGACCAATGCTTTTGAATGGGGACATATGGTTGGAACCCTTTTTTGAAAATCATCCCCTAGGAGATCAATTAATCGACCAGACCTGTTCACCTACTATACATGAAAAAATATATATATTCACAATTTTCCCTTATGACAGTATGACCCATGCTCCCTCTTTCCTTCCCCGTTCATTACAATTTATCTCGACTCGGCGGTTGTCTTGCTAGAGACGCTTATTGTTTACCCGAACGGTACCACCTGAATATCCCCCTTTTTTCTGTTTTTTTCTGCAAGGTCGTGTCGGTCTTTTTCGTTTATTTGCGTATTGATATCTCTTTTGGTTTTATTTCATGTTACCGAAACATAATTTTGGCTCTCGATTTTCCTTTGCAAATAACACTTTCTTTTTTTCTTTCAAAACAAAGCATTGTAGGTGTACACATATTTGTTTCTGTGCTTAACATGCTTAATGTATAATTATTGCATTCAATTATATTTTGTTCTCAGATCTAAACTAAAGTGAAGTGTCTGAAACTGTTTCGATAGTACATTGGAAAGAAACAAATGTAATTCGTATTTTGATGTTATATATAGTACAAATACTTTTATTAATCCCCCTTTTTCAATCAATTCAATGCAGGAAAGGGTTTTACGTTAAAATTTATATAACACAATCGCAAACTGCTTTAAACTTATTTAACAAAAATATGATTAAATCTAGCACCTACGTTTGTTTAATTTCAAGAGAGTACATCGGTTTAAAAAAACGATCAATACGAACCAATTGCGAATCGGACGCTTGATTGATTTGTTTAACAGATAACCTGCGGAAACATGTTCCTTTATTCTGCTTCCCATATTCATCGTCGTTGATAAGCGAAGTTTTGCCTTATATTCCTACACAGGCAATAATATCAGATTAAAAAAAAAATCTTGCAAATAAACACCTGAAAATTAAAAAAAAACTATTGTAGTCCCCTAGTTCATGAAGCAAGTTCTCGATTTGCACTTTGTACACAGAGTGAGGTTTAGGTTGTTAATCAAATTCTCGATTAGCTGTTTTGTCCAAGGAACAATATGTGGCTTGCACATCAACACTTGGTAAAATATCTAATTCAGATGAACGATTTTCTCTTGATTATGATAATACAATTATTTTACTTGTGGTCCTTGTATTGTGGCATGATCTATCAAGCGTTAGAAGCCTTATTTAATTTTTTTTCATTTTAATTGCAGCTGAAAATGATGTTAGAAAGAATGAGAGTAACACCAGAGGTCGATTTGTATATTAAGAGACGGACGAGGAAAAAGAAACCAAAACTTACAACGAGCATTATTAACCAAATTTGTGCTAAAGGAGACAACCTAAAACATGAGAAAATGGCTGTGAAATAAGTATTAAAATCAATTTGAAAAAAAAACCGTCTTGATGAGTGAAACAATTATTGTATTGGAAGTTGACTTTCATTAAATGTTTTTGTGAAATTGTCCTTTCTTCTTCACATGAAAAAAGAAATGTGGGAATTATTTGATTTTTTTCAGTTCTTTAACTATCATTTACCTGTAAGAATCAATTATGCTACCTTCAGCTGTCCAATATTTTTAAGAAAGTGGAGGGTTATTCTTAAAAATATTGGACAGTTAAAGGTAACATAATGGTTTCTTACAGGTAAATGATAGTCCAATCAGTAAAATAAAGAACGGGTACAACAATAGAATGACATCACAACAATGTTTTAACTTGAAATAAAACGCGTGAAAGTTATTCTTTTTATTAGATATCTTCTTTAGGCTCTTTAACCATTTTCTACATTTAAATGTAATCGATTTAAGAATGGGAAAGAGGTATAAGACACAAGGGTAACCCTTGGAATTCAGTATATGTGTCTATACTTGCTTTTATAACCACACATCGAATACAAAAGGCAAACATTTTGCTAAAAAGGCAAATCGACGAAAAGGCAGATTTCAACCAAATATGAAGAACTGGATCTACTTCACTGTATTGGATACCTGAACTACATAAGTGTCCTTACAAACAACGCTATATTGTGGTTCTTCAAAGTGCTCCACGATACTCCTTTCTAAATTATTATCATCTTTTTTATCAGCAATAAAAGCCGGGCTTCAAAGTTATTGTGAAACTACCAATTCTAGAGGTGGCGTGAGTCAGATGTGGACACTAAACAAATTCAAAGATCTTTTAGAGTACATACAATCTAAATCTCTTTCATCTTGCAATAATATTAGAATATTTGACTTTTCTACACTTTACACAAGTATTCCCCATTTCAAACTAAAAGACAAATTAAAAGAGTTGGGCATGCTTTGTTTCTTAAAAAAGAATGTCTTACGTAGTCACAAGTTTCTTGTCTTAGGGAGGAATAAATCGTATTTTGTAAAAAAAAAATCACTCTGTTTCAAACATAAAATTCTCTGAAACTGACATTATCAAGATGCTTTATTTTTTAATTGACAACATATTTTTTACGTTTTGAGGACGTGTTTTTCAACAAACAATCGGCATTCCCATAAGAACCAACTTTTCTCACAAGGAAGCTATTGAAACAAGAATTCCAATTGGAGAATTGAAATCATTCCTTCGTTTTCAATTTGGCTAAAGAAAAAAAACAACAGTACACAAAACACAATATAGAACACTAAGGACTGATAAACACGAACCCCATCAAAAACTGGGGGTGATCTTAGGTGCTCCGGAAGGGTACGCATATCCTGCTCCACATGTTGCACCCGTCGTTTTACTTATGCTAGTAAAACATACAATAAAGCACTTGATCTGTCAAGGTGAGTACAACGTAAGTATCAATATTAAAACAAGAATTGTATAGTTTCGGAAGCGCACAACAAACTATATAATCATCTGCATTCACTTTAAAACTTGCCATAAAAAAACATGTCAACTAGCGAAATAAAGGTTTATGTTGACCTCGATAAAAAAGTAGTAAAGATTGGTTTGTATCAATGTGAAAATTGCTGCTTGATATCCGAATTTGTGCAGCTATTTCAATTTGATTTAAAAAAAAAGGCATTCAGCATTGAAGAACAAGTCTCAAGCTGCGTTCAATTAAGCGTCATGAGTAAGTTTCGGAAATCGATTCATTCAATTGAGTAAAAAATGTTAAATAGAAACATTCAATAGCTCTATTTAAAAACCGGAGTCATCATGGCATTATGTATAGAGTTCAGTCATACCAGTCCCTGGCTGTGCTTCACTTATTTGTTTATCTATTTATTTATTGATTATTATTACATTGATCGCAATGAAATACCGTTATTTAACAATTAAACAAAAAGCGATAATTTCAGATTTCAAATAAATCCTCTGACGTCATACAACTATGGCTGCTGTCAACATATTGTCGATGACCTGCATCGAAATGAATTGAAAAAGCTTTGACAATGATAATGTTCGTTGGTTTGTCTACTTTATTTCCATGAAAAATCCCACGGTCAATGTAATAAAAAGAACAAATAACAGAACAGTATTCGTGATCGAACAACTCTGACGATGAACTCATGCACTACGTGTATTCGTGGATGAAGGTGGTGTTCGGTCACTCGTTTAAATGTTTTCTTTATTTGAATTCTCCGATTAGCTATTTCATAATGATTACTATTGTAAGTATTATAATCATAACTATTATCATTTTAATTATTATTATTATGTATAATACTATGATTGTTATTATTAATTTTGTTTTTAATATTATTATTAATTTGTCTCTGGCATATCTTCCCTAAAGCCGAAGCTTAAAACCCAATTATCAGTTTATTGTTAAAAGCAAACATTGACAATTACTGGTATCGTAAACAAGTTAAATATGCTAATTTCTACGAATTCTTGATAAAATCCCACCTTGAAATCATGACATGTTTCTTATTTTTAACTTTTTTATTAACTAAAAGATAGACATTTTTGCTTGACAATATGGTTTCCTTGATTTATCATCTTACTTTTTCGTATTTTCATATTCATAAATTTATATATATTAAGTGATGTTGTTTTGTTGAACAGTTCGTTAGATCGTGAATCGTTGAAGGTAAGTCTTTATCTAGGATTGATAGTTACAAGCAGTTAATGACGGCAAATCCATAGCACACGAAAAGAACTTATGAGAGCTCATACACCTAGTAATACGTGTTGTGAAGGTAAAGTAAAATATAGTTGTTGAGGTTTATGCCCCCTTCTGTAGCAAAGTGTATTACGAAAGTGTCAAAGTGCAATAATATCCAAACAGCAAAGATAATGAGTAAAAGTGATGTGCCAATGTGTACATATACCACAGGGAAACTTCGTTCAAAGCAATAGTATTTACTGTTTTATTGCATTTAATGGAAAATGGAGTTTTTGTGGCAAATAAAGCCAAGATTTTTGCAGAAAATCCGCAAACTCTGATACAAAGATTTTTGTTAAATAATTTTAAACATAGATTACTCACTTGCTTGTCTATGATGTGCTAGCGGTTATAGTTTACAGAAAGTTCCGAACAACCTTTACATTCCCCCAAAACTCGTGCTGAGTCATTAAAGTCGAGCGCACCCTAGAACGTGAACTTGAATTGGTCCATATGTATATTTGTTTTAACCAATATCTTAATTCATAAACTTGTTATAAGGAAATCATTGCTAGCACTACATGCAATAATCTAACTATCAAGCAAAAAAAAATATGGTGGGTTAAATCTGGTTTTGTCGCATGCCAAACCTCCCGCTTTTATGGCAACGTCAAACACAACACCAAAACGACAACATCACATGACAGGACCACAATACAAATACATGGGAGAACATAAAATGTAAGAAAAAAAAAACATTTTACGTTATAATTTCGTTTTGGCTAATATTTGGGGAATTTTTTATTGAGTTAGATTAGATTTTCAACTTATTTAAACCATATGTCATAGTTGCTGAACATGTATATATGAAGGTCTGTGTGACAACTCTACGACATGCATTCTCCATTGGATAACCATGGGACATACAGGTTTACATCATCAAGTATATGAACTTCATCTGAAATTCAGTCTAACAATTCTAGATATATGCAATTTTTTTACAGCAAATTTTTGGACTCGCTCTCCGTGATATAAACTGATCTTCTTATAACATCTTGACATCCACTTTTACGGTTTACAACGTACTAAACAACTAGATCAGCTAGGCTATATAAAGATATATTTGTTTGTCGGATAATGCCATGCTTCGTATGTTTAATCCAGGGTTACAACATAAAACATGACATATAGTTGCATTTCTACTAAATGACATATCTTACAGATCAGACTTCTTCATTAGCCATTATGGGTTAGGAATACATATCATTTAGTCACTATATTTTTATCTTATATATACATATAAGAAGATTTGGTATGATTGTCATTGAAACTTATATTTGCCAACCAAGGGATTTACAGGGTTAACACTACAAATGACATATACTTTCTTTAATGTCTTTAATTAAGCTCCAAAATTTCAAATGATCATATTTGCGTTTCCAGCATTATCATTTGAACAATTACTTCGTTCAACCACTCAGCCAACTAGGCATTTTACAAATAAAGCTTTGCAATCGTTAAATTCAAGATATAACTGATTGGCTAAATTTCTGATAAATATTTGAAAGAGCAAATAAAATTCCGTAAATCACCACACTGACAACTAAAAAGTTATAAAGTGATAACATTCATTTTGTTGCGAGTGGCACCCATTGTTGTTCTCAAACTATTTGATACATCAACGTCGGTAAAAAGCTTTCCTGCAATAGCAGTTTGGTGGATTTGGTTATTTGTTTAACCATTGGACATTACCACAGTCATAAACAATTGGTACATATAGAATATCAACAACCGAAAATGAGATTTTGAAATGATACAAAGAAAACATACGACAATTTAAAAAAATACCTGATAAATGTTTACCACAAAAATCGCCTCCGACGAATCAAATTTATAAAGTGTTCAATTCAATTTCCAAAAAAAAGTAACACTAAGAAACATGTATGAAATAAAATTTTATAAATACGTCCTGAATCACAATACACGAAAACTTGGAGTGAACTTAGATGATGCGACAGGGCAAACTATGATTGATCCACTAGTTTTGTGAATAGCATTTATTTAAAGTTCTTGCCTACTTGTTCTTGTTGCTGTTCACATCGTTTGTCTATCTATTATACTTATCAAGATAATTGACAAAACAAAACACCATCAATGAAGTATTTTTCAGAGTAAATGAATAGTGAAACGAATTTTAACGAATTGGGAGAACGTTGATTTTTGTCAAGAATAGTCATTTAGAAATAAACCGTCGAATATAGAGTCAATTAAAGTTTTTTTGTCTAATAAGCATTTTCTAAAATCTTGTATAAGTCATAAATTTTGCTATTTCGCAGCTAAGAGGCTTTAACATAAATCCCAATTTGTGTGAGTCAATTGATGGTTTCAGATATATTTCCATTTTTGTAAATCTTGTACAGATAAAATGTTTTACTGTTTATTGTTGTATCCAATATATCATAATATGAAGGATGATATGTAAACAATTCGGACTCGGACCTCTTTTAAACTGAGTTTTACTGTGCGTATTGTTGTGTGTTTGTTTAATCTACATTGGCTAGAGGTATAGGGGAGCGTTGAGATCTCACAAAACATGTCTAACCCCACCGCATTTTTGCGCCTGTCCCAATCCAGGAGCCTCTGACCTTTGTAAGTCTTGTATTATTTTTAATTTTAGTTCATTTATATGTTTTGGAGTTTAGTATGACGTCCATTTTCAATGAACTAGTACACATTTTTGTTTAGGGGCCAGCTGAAGTCCGCCTCCGGGTGCGGGATTTTCTCGGTGTGTTGAAGACACATTGGTGGCCATCGGCTGTTTTTTTTTTTTACTCCTTGGTTTGGTTGTTGTCTCTTTGACACATTCTCCATTTCCATTCTCAATTTTAATTGTAAAATTAATTAAACAAATCACTATTTGAGGTCAATAATTTCTAGAAAGAGTCAACTGGTGGTTTTAGAAATATTTGTATTGATGTACATCTTTTACATATTGTATTGGTGATCATTTCTATGTTTACAGTTTCTGGCTTTTGATCTCTGTAAAACATCATTAAAATACAAAGCTTATAACTAGTTACCCCAGAAGCGCTTTGCGTTAAAAAAAAGATTCATTAGTGGCTCTTTGGTTAGATGGAAGGATAATCAAGTACTAAAGGGGTCATTGAAAACCCAATCTAATTAAAATTAAAGCGTTATTTGATACCGTTCTGATTAGATCAGGAAATTGTTGATAACCAAATTTTCGGCAATTGACCTTTAAAGACATAGTGTAAGAAAATGTTGTCGAAACTTCCAAACATTTAATAATTCAAGTCATTACACCCTTCAGAATTTGGTCAAATCCGTGTTATTCTTTATAATATTTCGACAGTGAAACATCAGTATAAGAAATAAATGAGACAACCACTGTTTTCAGGAATTATTTAAATAGAAATAAGGAGATGTGGTATAAGTTCCAATTAGGCAACTCTCGAACCAAGTCACAATGTGTAAAAAGTAAACAATTATAGTTCAAAGTACATTCTTCAACACGGAGCCTTGGCTCACACCGAACAGCAAGCTATAAAGGGCCCCAAAATGACTAGTGTAAAACAATTCAAACAGGAAAACCAATGGTCTAATCTATATAAAAAAAAAACGAGAAATTAGAAATGCCCATTAATCGCAAACAAGAACATATACATGTATTTCTTCTGTTTTTTATATTTCTTTATGAGCAAATGTCTTTCAATTTTAAAATCGTTTTTGAACCCTTAGTATCCTTACACTAGCCTCCAAACTTATTTTAAAGAAGCTACTTCTATATGAATATAACATTAGGAGATGTGGTATGATTGGCAATGAGGCAACTACAAAGTTGAAGAGTCTTAATAACTAAGATTTCTGAAAGGTGATGCCAAGTACGGTTAAGGCAATCTTCACCTTAAGTGGTAGAAAAACTTAATTGTTTTGAGTATTTCAAAATCATATAAACCGTTAATCAACAAAATATTAACATACTGATGATATTTCATGTGAGCCCACGAAAGTGTTAATAATAAGTTAAATCTTTATATCCAAACAACAAAAAAATACTGTACAATTGTTAATTAATGGCAGGAATTCAACAACAACGCGATAGAGAGACATCTACTGGACTATTCATGATCTTCATTGATAGACAATACAAGCAGTTAGCACAACGTAAAGTTCTTCAAACGTCTATTATACGTTGTTCATGTTTGCAAACATTTGATGACATACCACAAAAAACACAAAACGAAATCGTTGTATGCCTTTTAAATGCATTACAGAAATTATGAATTGGAAATTTTGAATTTTCATATTAATGTTGAAACAAAAATTAGACTGTTTCCTTAGATCTTCGAGTTAGTTAACTTTTCTTATTTTATTTGGAGTGCATTGATTAAATGGTTGTTTTGTTATAGCACTATATCCAATCATGGCGTTGACCACTTGTCACTGTAACAAACGGGAGGAGCGTACACCAGTGCATCAATCTTAGAAGTTGCTATCAATGACCTTGAACTGTTTGTCACCGCTTCCCTTGACTAATAGATAATGAACGAATAAATCAAAATGTAATATCTATCACCATTAAATTTCTATGTTAAGCAAATATACCATTTGAGAATTAGATTTCTGTTCTGATTTATTGTTTGTAATTTCTAAAAAAAACAATTGTAAACAAAACAACAAAAAAGAGTGATTGATTTGATGGCTGCATAACTGTAAAACCTGAACAACAAAAACGATTCCGTGATTAATGGCTGTTTAACGTCCAAACCACAAACAAAAACAACAATGGATGTTAAGTCATATTTATATCTCAAGAAAAATATAATGTATTATTTGTTTACAAATATATTTCATGTTAAATCAGAAAATGATCTTCCGCCAATTTTCATATTAGTTAAAAATGCTATCTGCCAACTCACAAAAACTATATTCGAATTATTTAACTCTTGTACCATTTCGTTCCCGTATTTGTTGTGGTTCTGTCGTTCTTTGATGTGGATATTACATTACTTGATGAGGTAAAACACGTGAACATTTAGAAAACACTAATTATATTTTTAAACCGATGTTCAT